AGCTCTCCTGGAGCCCCTTCAGGCCCTGCCAGGGGCTCTCAGCTCTCCCTGGAGCCTTCTCTTCTCCAGGCTGAGCAATTCCAATTCTCCCAGCCTGGCTCCAGAGCAGAACTGTGGAATCCTGGAAAGGTTTGGGTGGGAAGGGACCTTAAAGCCCATCCAGTTCCACCCCCAGGAACACCTCCCACTTTCCCGGGTTGCTCCAAGCCCCATCCAACCTGGCCTTGGACACTCCCAGGGATGGAGCAGCCACAGCATTCCTGGGTGCTGTCGCTTTCCCTGGATTCTCCCAACATCCCAGGAAGGGGGGCTCAGGCTCTGGGCTCCCTGCAGCAGGTGGAACACCGGGGAGGGCTCGGTGGGACGTCCCCCCGGGGTCCCGTGGCATTCCCAGGGAACGTCTGGCTGTGATCCCCTCCCTCCTCCCACAGACGACGTGGTGTCCAACTACTTCACCAAGGGGAAGAGAGGGAAGCGCTCCGGGATCCTGCTCATCTTCTCCTTCATCAAGGAGGCCATCCTGCCCAGCAGGCAGAAGATCTACTGAGCCGGGGGAGCGGGGACGGAGCCGGGACGGAGCCGGGACACCCCAGACTGTGCCGAGGGCCCCACAGCTCAGCCAGCCCTCCCCCTGGCTCCCGAGGGGATTGCCCTGGGAATGGATGGACTGGGACACGCCTGGAGCTGCCAGACACACGGGGAGGGCTGGCACCGCGCCCTCCAGCTCTGCTGATCCCTCGGGAACGTGGCCCAGGAGGAGGTCGGGCTCCGGCTGAGCCCGGGAGGGTCCGGCCCCGGGAAGTGTCACCTGTGGGAATCCCCAGCCAGATGTTTGTGCCTGGGGGGTTTTGGGGAGCAGCTCCCTCGGGATGGCACAGGACGGGCTCCAGCTTTCCCTGAGGTTTACACAGAGCCATTAATTAAAAAGGAGAGGAGGAATTGGAATAAATCCGGAGGATTCCGACGTTCCCGGGGAAGGGACGGCGAGGGCGGGGCCTGTCCCTGCCCCCCTGGAAGGACCCAGCTGCTGGTTTGGTTTGGTTTCAGTGTTGGGAATTCCCGTTTTTCTCTCTGGTTTGGCCAGGACTGTCCAGGATGCTCCAGCTGCTGGGGAGTCGTTCATGGAAGTGAAGTCTCTGATCCATGGGAATCTCCTCAGCTTCTCCCGGGCCTCTGCTGGGCATTCCCAGAGCTCTGAGCTCTCCAGGCCTCCCCCCTTTCCCAAAGGGAAGGATTCATACTGAGGAGGGGGTGAACCCTTTGTTCTCATTCCTTGTAACCATAAAAATCCCCTTTTTTCCGTGTTTTTGGCCACCTTCAGCCTGTGCCAGGACGGGCACAGGAATTCCCTGGATCCACCAGGGCAGGGGCACGGGGCAGGAAAGCTTTGGGAGGAGTTTCTGAGGAAAATGGCTCATGGGAGAAGTTTGCCCTGTTGGAGAGGCTGGATGTGGCAGGTCCTGAGCATTCCTGGAGTCCTGGAATGGTTTGGGGGGGGAAAGGGACCTTAAATCCCACCCAAGGACACCTTCCATAGGTGCTCCTTCCCAGGGTGCTCCAAGCCCTGTCCAACCTGGCCTTGGACACTTCCAGGGATGGAGTTGGTGCCATGGGAGGAATCTCCCTCTGTGCATAGCAATTAATTTTGGAGGTTTTAGGAAATAATACGTTGGAAAAGCTGCTGTCCAGCCCAGGGGCTGGAATTTTGCTCCAAGGTCGCAGGGTGAGGTTTTTTCCCTCTGAACCTGATGCAGGAGGGATGGAAAACTCCTGGAGAGCCGTGACAGGAGCACAGGGCAGGATGGAGGGATGGACCAGGATGGAAAAGAGGAGGATCAGGAGCCTTCGTGTCCCTCCTGATCCCTCTTAATCCCCATTTTCCCGACCACTCAGCCAGGAGCCAGGGTTGGTTACTTGTGTTTTTCCAGCTGCCAAGTCCATTTTTCCTGCCTGGATCACATTCAGGACACTCCTTTCCTGGAGCTGAACCAGATTTCAGGGAAGTTGTGTAACCCCATAAATGTTTAACGAGGGAAAGGAGGAGGAAAGGCCGCAGGGAAGCAAAGACCAGGCTGGGATCCATCCCCTGCCCTGAGCAGGGAGGTTTGGGGTGAAACACACCCTCAGGAGCCCAGCTTGGGCCAAAACATCCCCCTGACACGCAGGGAACATGGGAAATGTGGGGGATAAGATGAAAAATCTCTGGATATTCACCAGGACAAGGTGGGAACGATCCAGGGTCCAGCCACAAAGGGGCTGGGAGGTGCTCCAGCTTCAAACAAGGTGGGAGTTACCACTTGGATGAAGTGTTTGATTGTTATTAGGATTATGCCCCACCCCTGGAAGTGGTGCTCCATCCCTGGAAGTGTCCAAGGCCAGGTTGGACGGAGCTTGGAGCAACCTGGGCCGGTGGAAGGTGTCCCAGGGGGTGGAACCGGGTGAACTTTAAGGCCCCTTCCCACCCACATTCCATGGTTCCATTTGAGAGTCATGGATTAACACCCAGACAGCTGCTCTCCGAGGCGTCTCTGCCTGCTCCTGGCTCTCCCATCCCGCGGGATCATTGATTTTCATGGATGTTTGGAGGGGGTAATGAGGGGAGAGGAGCTCACTCGATACGGAGCGGGCACAGGGAAAGGGCAGGGCGGGGGGGAGTCTCCCTCCTTGGGCCCTGACATTTCCCTGGTGCTCAGCCGGGAGGGGAGGGAGAGGTGAGAGCAGCTGGGGCTGGGAATGGCCCCAAAAGCTGGATTGGGAGACGCTCAGGAAGCAGGAGAGGGGTCACCCCAGCCCCGGCCCCCCGAGCGCTCCCAGCCGCTCCCTGGGGCTCTGCCGCCTTTCCCAGCACCAGGGGCCTTGTCCAGGCAGGGATGAGGCCTCTCCGTGCCCGCTTCCCACAGGGCAGTGCTCCTGGAGAGTCCAGAGGGAGGAGGAGGAGCTGTGGAATTGGGGAGGTTGCTCCGCACCTTCAGTATTTCAGTTTGACTCGTGGGCGCTCGAGAGGAGCAGGAAAAAAGAGGGATGAAAAAAGCCAAGTGCTGGAGTGTCGTGACAGCAACGTGTCCTGGCTGTTCCCAGGGCATGGGGGGACCACGGATCCGTGGGAAGGGGTCTGTCCCCTCCT